ACAAATTTTTTTTTAAATGTAAATTTTCTATTTAAAAAAAAAAAAATATTTTATAATATCCTAGATGGCCAACATTGGAAAGATGTGCATATATTAGCCCGATGTCGATCTGCCAACAAACTCCTAAAGCCCACATCGGGTTGAAATTGCGCCGATGATTCTTTATCTTTTTATTTCACTCACAAAGCTTTCTCTATGAGGAATTAGAAAGCCAAAATTGAAAAATCGACTTGCTCTAAGGAGGAGCTTTGTGAGCGAAATAAAATGTTTTTTTTTTTTTTCTTTTAATTAACTTCGATTCTTTCTTTTTTTATTTAAAAACGGTTTACTCTGCGGGAGAGAGAAAAGAAAATTGTCCAAGTCTCTCGGTCGTCCTCGCGCGTCCAGCAGATTTGCGACCGGCAGCCGGCAGATGCCGAGCCTCGTATTACTTTTTGGCGGAATCCCCGCGGGGAGGTCCATTGTTTCGTAAAAAAAATTGCGACCGTGCAGCGGTTTTTCGAGTGCGTCGGCGCGGCGCCGCGCCGGCCGGCAGACGGAGGGAGTGGTTGCAACGGCGTCGTCTCTATGGTGCGTGACGCACCTCTTACAGGCGCCAAGACGAAAAGAGATCTCGAAGTTGAAGCGCGCGTCAAAGGGAAGTATCTCGTCTTGCTTGTTCAATTGAAAGCGCCCGCCGGTATCTCTTCCGTCGCGCCGGGCGCCATTTAGACGGATTAGATTGCGTAAAAACGCGTACAATTACGATTACATTAGTAACGGCGAAAGTTTAAGCATTGTGACCTTATTGACGATTATTCGTTATCGTTTGACGAAATTTTGTACCTGCGTTATCGAGATACGAAATTTCTATACTTCGCTTATTGAGAGAGAAAGAGTATTATACAACATCGAAGATTTATCGTATTTTTTATTGGTTTATCGAGAATTCAATATTGAATTCCCTCTTTTTTTTTTATTGCTACAGCACTATGGCACTTCTTATGGCTATAGCGCTTATTTTTAATGTCTAATAATATTTTTAAAGAATATTTGAAGCAACAACGCGCGTTTAGAAATAACAAGCAATTTTTATATAAAATGGCTTTGCAGAAAACTATATGTATAATGCGTATTAATATAATAACGCGTACTCACCGTCCCGACTTGGTGATGATCATTTCTGTGCTCTCGGCATGAAATTGCTCCCAGAGTTTGCGATTTTGTAATTCCACGGTGACTCCAGGCGGCAACGGTAATCGTGACCACCTGCTCGAATATGACTTTTCATCTGTAAATTGATAGCGCATGATTAGAACGATTAAGCAATAGAACTTATATAGAGTATTTTCTTGTTACATAGTAAAATTTATCTCTAGATTTATCACATAAAAAAAATTCAATCTGGTTTTCGAATCGTAAATATTCTTGTAATCCAGTAATAAGCAAAACATTTATGAATATTGCAGTCTCAATTACATTATAATTCAAGGAATTAAGATTAATTAAGTAAAATCTCGGCGTTTGGAGAATTATTGGACGAGAAAAGAGACGATATCTAATAACATCTATTTAATTTTCTAATAAAAATTTACGCGTAAATACACGTTTAATTTTGGAAGAGAACGAGAAACGAAAATTAAGATGAAGAAAACACTTTGCGTATGTTTAAATAATAGATACCGGCTAGCTTTATTTACGCGATGAATTAGGAATACTCTATTAACGTCAATTTCCGCGAAAATGTGTCGGCGTCTTCTCTAAAGAATCGACGTCGTTTGAAAGTGTACGAAAAAAAAGACTGAAGAAAATGAAGTAACGAATAGCAGCGGGGACACCGGGGTGTCCCCGTTGCCGCCGCACTTGTCTGGTAGCATTATAGACTGACACACAATTGCAAACACTCGATCTCCCGCGAAGAACGGACAATATATCGCCAGGACCGTTCTGTAGGAAGATAATGATTATTCGCTCCGTTGAAGGTCGGCACTTTTCATCTTTCAAGGATCTCGTGTATTATACGAGGTGTTATAATTGACAAGACGACTGAGTGCAATTTTGATGCAAAACGTTTTGTGTGTCGGAGTAACATTTTTTTTTCCAACGGTATTAATATCCAGATATTTTATTTGCAATCGTAAATTATAGAATAATTAAAACTGCCGTATGTACTTACGCGAAATATGCTTAATAATTAATATCGTTTTTTTCATAGAATATACAACGCAAAAAAATTATGATCTGACAATGAGTTCGTCAATCAATAAAGATGTAATCACAAACTATCGTTTTATTTGTGCAAAGTATATTATTGCAAAATATATTATTATATTTAAATTTTTTTATAATATATTAACATATTCAAATTATATGTATATCGCTTGCATTAAAAATCTTCTCGTTATAAATTAATGGAGTTATGTTAAGGATTTTTCAAATAGAAAAACTCACATTAATATGATAACATCTTTAAATTAATTTACAAAAGAGATATGAAAATGAGAGATATAAAAATCTGGATATAAAATCAAATATATAGATTGAAATAGAAAAAGTGAGAGCGGAGAATGAGATTGGATCAAATAACAAACTGCAGTCACGGATTATAATGCAACTTAAAATTCACATATCGCATTATATCGATCGGGATTCTTGATATTAAAATATTATATACCGCAGAACTGTTAACGTAATATGTTTTAAATGTGTAAACTCGCTCCGTGACAGCAATCAGCTGATCGTCGCTAGTTGCCTCCAAATTCAAAACAGCTTGAAATAACTAAAGAATAACAACAAACCTGTTCTGTGACTTAGAGGAATTTGCTGCTGCGTGAAGAGCATCTGATGTTTTTGCAGTTGCATTTGCAAGTCCATAGGCATCAGTATGTTGGCATTCGTATCTTGAAGAGGCACTTGAAGAGACATTATCGAATATTATTGATATTTCAGGGTTGTTTCGATCACTGTCGAAGCAACTACGTGATGAAGAGTGCGCGAAGAACTAACGTAACGTCCACGCTGTCGTAGTCGAGTGACAACTAAAGAGATCTCGATTCCGACTAGAAGACAAAACCAGTGCAGCATACACGCGCAGATCATCGAACAATGCAAACCCGTGTCTCCATTGGTGAACGTGGCCGCCCTCATAAATGCCGCACCGCCTACGCGAACTCGATTGGCCATGGTTCCACCACAAGTGGGGTTTGAAACCCAAACAAGTGTCTGCAGAGGCGATAGAGAAGGAGTAAGGGAAAAAGAGAGAGAGAGAGAGAGAGAGAGAAAGAGCGAGGGGTGAAAACGCGATGCGTCACGCAATTGCGTTTTCCTGATCTACGTTCTCGACGCCTAGCTCGCTGAAACTCAATTGAAAACCGTTCCTTTACTTCCCGATGGCTTTCTTCGCTTAAAATCTTTAAGTATATCGTTGAACACTCTGTTAAAGATTATTCAATTAAAAGATTTCGGATCATTTAATTTTTATTTTATTTCTTAAATCTGACAAATATATATTTACTTAATTTTATAAGATGCAAGTTGATATTTCAGTCTTTGAATGCGTTATCAATTCATAATTATAATTAAAAAAAAAAAATTAAATTCTAAACGCACACATATTTTAATCTCCTAATTTACACATATATACGGACGGACGTTTAATTGTGAAACACTCTATATATAAGTAATCTTTATCGTATAAGAAATTTAAAAAAAGGTCTCATAAGTATAGGGAGATTAAACATGCCCTAATTAAACATGATCCTCATTAAACATGTTCTATTTGATGAAATAACAGTGCGCTATCGGAAGGCATCAATTCCACGCGTATAGTGACTGACCTAATCATTATGAAGAATTGACAAGTACATTTGATGAGCGCGTCGCAGATCGTTATCGCCATTTCCACCAGTGACACCGACCCTGCACAGATTTGTATCGCGTGTTCTCGCGAGAGCCTCGTCTCGTAACGGTCCCATTACAAGCGTCGTATATGAGACGGAACACGGAATTGTCATCACAAATTACCGGAATCCGGCGGGTAGACAGAGTTAATAGTTTGTTCTCGAGTCAAGAGACGAAAGAGAAGAAGATACAATCTCAACAACGTACACGTTGCGTTGCCGGGAATCTTTCATCGGGCATCGCATTAACGGCAGTACGTTTTCTCGAGAAACTATCAAATAGAATATTTTTATTCAACTGGGAAATTTTTATTTTATTCAAATAACATGTACGTGTTTTTCCATAATTATAGAATGCTCTTGAGTCACCGATCTCTTAATTTGAATAATAATAGTATCCTCCTGATCAGTTTGGAATCGATTTTGTAACGAATATATATATACACAATACTTTGAATATTATATTACCATTGCATTATAAGTATTTTTTGTGACGTTGAAATTCTTTTCAGTAATCCTTTCAAGTATGCTAATTGTTTTTTACGAACTGATAGTTGTTCGTTTCAAAGAATTAAATCGTTACAACTGCAACTACAGTTTACGGCTCGGGTTTTCTAATCTTATCGACAATGTTATCCTAATTTTCATGGGTGTGTAATTGAGTATTGTAGTGTGACTCCGATATAACAATTCGTAGCGTGATGCTTATCATTGTGTCTCATCTTTCCTTCTTTTGATTCTTTTTTCCATATGTATTTATTCTGCTCGTGTTTTTCAATATTGACATACTTCCGAAAATCCCTAAACACTACACACGTCCGCATACACGATCTTTCACAATTATTGTCACAGAATACGACAATTTAACTAAAGCGATATCTGTAACAAAAGCATACATTTTACCTAAAAATACCTGCCTGGATTTATCACACAAACTCATATATAAATCTTCGGTAATAAATGATTTAAACACAATATTAAAGATAAATTTACTACTATAAAGACATCAAAGAGAAAAACAATGCGTGCTGTTGTAATATCGCTTATATCCTTTAAATGTCGCGTTACAACGGTGGTGTAATGACCTCAGGCGTAAATTGTTGGGGAGAATTTTTCAGTCTTCTTTATGAGATCGTAAAAAAAGAAAATAAAAAAGCGAGAAAAGAAAGATTTAATTGAATTAATTTTACTTTGTCAATTTTGTATCGCGTAATCAATAACCTCATGGCAAACGATAGATAGGAGAAAGGGATGAAATGATGAGAAAAAAAAATGAAACAAAAGGCCCTGGCAAATGCATCCTATGACTCGCTTCCTGTTCGTCATGCGCACGCGACAATTTCCTGCACGGTGATAATTGCAACGTTTATTTTTCAACGCGGCAGAAATTGCAGTCGATTAAATAAGAGATTTAAATGCAAGACACGATACAAGTGCCAGAAACATGTCGCAATGAATGCCATGTGTCTATAAATTAAATTACGAATAAATAGAATCTATCAACTTTTGTCCTAAGAATAAACAGCTATTCTGTAATCAGAGTTTGGACTAGAGTAATGTTATCTAACGATATGAGAGTCGCTTTTATTTTGAAGAAATTGTTTTCTCCGAGAGCGAGATATATATATATTTTTTTTTAAGTACTATTAAATGCCATTGAAACGAATGAGAAGTATGAATTTTACAGAATTTTTGTATATATATAAATTATAATTTTTAAATTTTTTATTGGGTAACTTTGGACCTAGTTTAACAACTAATCTGTCATCAATCCCAAAATTTAACAGCTAATCTGTAATCAGAGTTTGGACTTATGTTAGAATAATAATATCTAATGATACGAATTACTTTTACTTTAAGAAAATTGCTTTCAAAAAGTGACATTTTGAAGTACTATTAAAAGTCATTGAAACGAATAGAAAGTATATGAATTTTACAAGATTTTCGTAAATTAATCCTTAAATTTCTTATCAAGTAATCTTCAATTTAGCACATTTCAATATGTGCATATTTGTATTTCAGATTTGAAACATACATTTTCCCAATTTTTTATTATTCGACTAATCATAATCGCAAAACGCTAAAATACTATTGAACATATCGTTTTCACGAATGAATGAAACGAATGATTGGTATGTCCGACACTTAATCGCGCGTGCCTCATTTGTCACGCGGTCCAGAGTCCAGGATGTTTATTTTTCTCTCAAATAGAAGATCTCGAGAAAGCAGTGACATTCTACCGGGCGGGCACTTGTAGAAACGCTTCCTCGTGGCGCAGTGTAACAACTGTGGAAGCGCCAGTCGAGATTAAAGTGTAAACAGGCAAGAAGAAACACAAGTACGCACGCATTCCCTCTCGTAGCGCGGAACGGCATAGGCGAACGGAACTTTGTTTCGGAGTGGCCACTTCGTCTCGACTGTTTGTACATTCGAACGGAAGTTTTGTCAAATCACTCCCGTATCTCCGTATCGCTGAAAGAAATGGTTTCCCTAACTTGAAAAAGAATCGTACCTTGAGTTAACTTGGGCTGAACCACATTTTCCACCATGCTTTTCGATATTTTTTGTCAAAAATTATATAATGTCAACGATCGAAATATGTTGAAGCAAATGGTTGACATTTTTGTTTAGAAAAATTTATTTTACTGGAAAATTTATCGAAGAAGCTGTAATTAAATTAAAATCAAGAATTGTATAATGGAATCATCTGTAATAAAAAAACAGATGATTTGATGTAATAATATTTCATTTCATATATGACGTGGAATAAAGCAATAGTAGCAACGCGACAAATGAGATTCGAAAAAATAATATATTCACGATATAATCACAATATATCATTCATCGATTTTTCGAAAGCTGTAATTATGCAATTAATTATATGGATTAGGAATGTTAGACAAGTTTGATGCAAACCGAAAGAGATATGCTTATCTTAATTACTTATCGCGTTAGTCTCTTTAATATCGGTTTATGGAACCGTTAATCGATTAGCGCCTGGAAATATTTCAATAAAAAATTTCTTCACTGAATTCATTATAAGAGTTTAGAATTAAAATCGAAAATTTTAATATCATAAAAATATCTTAAACAAAAAAAAAATTGTGTTACATTTTGAGAGAGCTAAATATTATAGAAAAATTTAACCATTGAATGTAAGTCCATAGAGCATAATACTACGTGCATTCCTACTAAATGTCGGTTTGCAACCCTCGTTAAACAAACTAAGCGAGTTATCAATAGGAAGAGTGCTTTGTTATTTCAGGATAAACCAGACTTAAACACGCTCACATCTTTAAGATTGCTGTTCTCATTGTCAGCATGAGATAAGCGACAATATGCATGCAAACCATCTGGTTGAGCTTACATCGTTGCATTTTTACTGGAAAAAAAAACCAAAATTTTTCGTCCGTTTATTAACAAAATTGAATAACAAATATATGTTTATATTTAGCGATTGTCGATATTTTCTTAATTGACTCTGGATGCCCGTGTAAATGACAATAAATAAACGCTTTAGCGGCATTTTTCCAATCAATATGAACTTTTGTTTAAGATTTACTACGGAAATGTTTATATTTTTTCAAACTCCGATTTTGACAACTTTGAAATTACCAGAAATTGCCTGTGAAAAATGTTCAAAAATAAATTTTATATTTATTAAAGATGAAAAAATGAGCAAAAAAATAATTTACATACATATTTCAAAAAGAATGGAATCATATAGAATTAACAGAATTTATATCTGCATGAGCATTGTCTATGAGATACAAAAGAAAAGATGAGATTAACATTTTAATCCTGTTTAAAAAATCTTTGATATTCTGCATGACAGAATAGGCGGATCAACACACACGTGTATGAATGGTTATACAAAACTACGAACGTATTATCGAAAATTCAGCTGGCGGAAAGCATGGTATATTTTTTCAACCCGAGAGTGTTATCTGTTCTATGGAAACAATTGATTTTCACTAAACACTCGAGAACAGTATTTTTTTTTTCCATTGTTTTTACACACAAGAGTATCGATAGAACCATAAACACAAATAATCCAGCAACAATAAAAGTACAATAAAAGTAATATTACATGTATCTCAATTAAGTTCAATTAAAATTCTTTTAAAATCTAAATTTGACCTAAAAAGAACACAATTTTGATATTTATATTCCCAAACTTATCTCTTATCAAAATGGACTTTGTGATAGACAAAAAAATGCGATGAGAGTAATAAGATATATATAACAAGAATCTCCAGAATCTTATTTTTTCGATGCGCTTTCGAAATCACAATAATTTTTATCACTATTGCCTAATAAAAGAGCCACGATCGACCGTGAGGTGCTTTCGAGTTGAGAAAAAGAGAGGATCAGGTTCTTTAATATTCCTTTGCGATCGCACACGCCGGAGGATCGTAAAGCGTCGCATCCGGACGTAGTAAAGCGAGTTTTCGCGCGTGGGCGACGGCGCGCTTTGAAGTGCAACGGCGGAACTGCATAACCGCTCGTGCAGCTGCGCTCATCGTCCCTGTATCTTCGCGCGCGTTGTTTCCCTTCCTTTCTTTTTATGGCGAACGATTGCGCCGCGCGAGATTCTCCTCGTCGGACGACGGGGTGCCGGGCTGCGTTTCCGGCATGCCGCGCGCGATTGTCGATCTCACCGCGATTTCAAGGGAAATTCCCCTTGTATACCGCGCTATTTTAATATGTATATATATATATATCGCGAGTATGCGCTCCACTTTTTGAAGATAAGCAGGAACTCATTGTTAATGTATCATTTAACTCACTTTTATCTGTATATAAAAAATTGGCAATATTATTAATATTAATTATTTGAATTATTAATAGCATAAGTATCGCGCAAAGATCCATATTGCGTTATGTAATTTGGAGAATGTAAAAGTATGTTGATAAATATGACTTTTGATTGCGAGATGGTTTAGTAAAATAATTTTAAAAAAAGTAAAATGAAAAATGATAAAATATGTGTGTTACATATGATAGAAATAAAGATGCTTCAAATTAGTTCGAATATATTATGAGAAATTCAAATCAGTTTTAATATTATTCGAATTTATTCAATCTTGGAATTAGTTCGAATATTATTCAAAGTTATACAATCTTGCAAGTCTTGATTGATCTTGAAGATCTTGAGTGTCTTAAGAAAAGTCTTAAATGTTTTGATAAACTTTATATTGGGATATTATAAATAAATATAACACATAAAACATTTGAAAATTGAATTTAAACAAGAATTATTTATTAATTATGTAGAAACAAAATTTTTATCGATATATAAGAGATCGAGATGGTGGATCACTCAAGATCTTCAAGACTAATCAAAACTTTCAAGACCTCTATTGAGACTTTCAAGATTGTATAACTTCGAAATGTTTCGATAAGAGTAATGACTTAATTGATTAAAAATTTGCAAGAGATACAACTGAATACCCATTATTATAGAGTTACACGTAAAAAAGTAATGAACATTTTGAATAAATTAAATTAAAAATAAAGAATTTTTTACACATATTGCGTCAATCTATGTACATAATTCATCTTCTAAAATTTTCTGAATTAATTCATTTTTATATTTGTATCTATGCGTGCTTCGCATTTTTTGGAAAATAAATAACCATTATATTTGTGTAAATATAACTTGCAAATTTGTTTCTTTCATGACAAAGGAGGATTATAAAAGAGAGCAGGCATGATATATCTGTTTTATATATGATTTATCGGTCGAGCATTGCTAACATTTTTGCACATCTCGCAAGTAATTATAATTCGAAGCTATGGATAGAACATACTAACCGGCACGGCATAATAAGACGAATCTATTCAGAAAGAATAAAAAAAAAAGATTTGCGCTTTGTGAATATTTTTAGAACCGAGAAATAACGTAAACTGTTTATCTTAGATTAAAAAGGGGGACAAATTTTACTCTGTGACAAATTCTTTGGATTTTTCGAAATAATCTAAAGGTGATCTTTTCTCCGTGAAAATGCGTCGAGAAATTAGTTTTTGAAAATTTTTGATTGAGCAAGTTAAAGGGATCTCTGTTCAATCTAATCTTTAGGATAGAGAAAGAGAGACAGAATGACTTGATTACAAATATATAATACAGATATATCTATAATACAAGAATTTATAAATCTACGTCAATCTACAATAATCTGCCTCTCTATAAACGATTCTTATGTATACGAAAAATCGATTGCACAATTAATCCACAAGAATCTGTCATAAAGATTTAATTCGTTTATTCTAAAAGACTTGATAAAATTAGAAAAAAATCAAGATTAATATCAATACAATCTGTGTCTAATGTTTATAATGTATTCGTCACTTAATGAAATCGTGCTAGCCTGGTATGTATTTTTATAGAAACTCCGAGGTGTGAAAAGTTAAAGCAAATCACCCGAGTACATTTCACTTGAAAAAGACAACGGCAAAGTGTTACTTCTGATCCATCATATCACTGCCTTCATTTCTGCTCGTCAAAAGTTTGTAAAATTCTCTTATCGTTGTACAAAAAAAACAATTTAATAAAAAGTGTGTGTGTCATATAAGTAAACTTTGATCAGTTGTTAAAAATCATATAAAAGTATAAAATCTTGTGATTGTTCGAAATATACATTCTAAAGTATTACGATTGCAAGAGCGATGGCAGCGTAGATGCAAGTGAATTGCGAAAATCGGAGGTGAATACGAGATGTAATATGGGATGCCGGTTATTCTGTTTAAAGACATTTAGACATAAAGACATGATCGAGCCAAGAGTATCACGATAATATACATAGAGCAGCTCGAGCCGATTTAACAACCTCTATATATATATGGTCAGATCCTCAATTTGATCAAATCCAATCGTGATCAAGTATTCCAGCTGGATAAAGATCTGACTATCCAGATTTGTCCATATCTGGGATCTGTCTCGACAACATCTATATTTTACTCTGAAATATGATCTACGTCATTATACACATAGATAACTCTACAAAACAATATATAACAATAATAAAAAAAAAAAAAATCACTGTTAATTTCATCAATGGATTTCGTTTCACTTACACTCTCATTTTCTGCAATGCGAAGTATAGGTGAGTTTTTTTTCTATACTATAGAAGCGTGTAATAATCTAAAATTTAATTATAATTTAATAGCTCGAATAACAAAGTACAGAAAAATACAAGCTATCAAAATGACTGATTAAACGATTTTACAAAGTTGATCTGAATCTTTATTATGTGCAGTTCTTTTATATTTATGTTCAAAATGACGCTCATGTAGAGATGATATACTCTTAATTATATTAATATTTCTTCGTCTAATTAAAAGATTGTTTTTGAGTGCCATCTCTTTTATATTTTTAATTAATAAAAGATAAAAAAATATATATATCTAAAGATATGAGATATTAAAGATAATTTGCGAAAACCTATCTTTAAATCAAAATTAACACATTTAATTAAGAAAATTTCTTATATAATTCGTTATTTAGAACTTTTTCGACTTTTCTCGATTATCTTTGACTAACATCATATTCTCTATTCTTCCTCAATATCAAGTGCAAAAAATATTGGCAAAAATATAACATTCGTAGAAACTAAATAATTATTACATGATTTCCGATAACGCGAACGAGTACCGTATATTTAATGCAAAAGTATAGAAAATGTAAGCAAAACGAATCTGATAAAATCTATTTATAAATATAATCGCTTTTATATATTACCTATCATATTCCTTACAAATCATTCAATAGTTTTAATATTCTTTGAATCAATTGTGAGTTTCTGCGAGATATTTTTTTTACAAAAAAATTTTTTTAAATAAAAACATTTATTTTTTATATAGCATGTGTATAATATAATCATGTTTTGTCCAACTGTGTCCAAAAAGTACATAATGTAACTATTTAATATAATTATAAATGAAAGAATTAAAATGTAAAATAATAAATCTTTCATCTTTAGCGAAATGGATTCTTTAGAATGTCACCTCTGATGTTTTAAATATGAAAATCTCCATGCAAATCGAAGTAATGCGATTATCGACCTTAGAATCATTAGATGTCAGATGGCCGATATATACATATGAATAATAAGAAACATCTCTCTCATAAAAGTATATACACTCTTAGTTTGAATTGCGTGATGCTGCTCGGGACATTTTAGCTTAAGTAACTTGAATGCCATCGAGCGACTTCTCCGCTTTACGCTCTTTAATTGCTTATCGAGATACAATGTTGAACGAATTAGTTTGTTCATAATGTAACTGATACATGAACGATAAATCTCTTCTTTATAGAGGTCAGGCGAATAATGACGGGTAATACGATTATTGGAACGTGTATAGTGCGTAATAAGCCCCGAAAAGTACAATATCTCTCACGTGAGTAACGTATCGTCTAATTCTTCTATTTTGCCCTCCGGCTGAGAGAGGACTTTACGCAATACTTTGCTGACCACATCAGATAAAGACTCCTTTGCGCCAACATCCAAGAAAGCCATGCAACGCTAGAAGGTGATAACGAGATTATTACCATCAGATTTTATGTATGGAAAAAAAAAGAAATTATGTGAGAGAAGAAGAGATCATTTTGCACAAAAATTAAATATAAAATTCGAAAATAATTATGGAGCGGAAAATAACTGATAACTAACCTGATGTTCATCTTCACCCTGCCTCAGTCGAAGCACCGCAATAAGCGCGAGTTCGCTGTTCGCTTTGACATATCCGTTCTTCTCCTTTGTTCCGTTCACCAGCATTGGTAGAAGCGCTCTGAGCAGTTCGGGCGACATTTTTTCAGGTGGGATGTTGCGTGCAAGATGTATGCAAACTCGAGCGAGTAGTTGCTTCACATCATTACTATTATTATTCATTGACTAAAGTTTAATTTACAAAATGTTAAAAATGTTGATTTAACACTTTAATATTACAAAATATTATCATATTTCATGTAACACATATATTTTATGCTGCGTTATTCTAGAATTGTCATTATAAACAATCTATTCGTCGATTTTAGAATAAAAATATACGACGAATATATTCTTGTAAATAAACTTACTCTCACGAAAGGCGACAAAATTTGCTGCGGTACAGGTAGCGATTCATTCATGAGATACTGAAATAGGTATCCACACGCTCGTACCCCATTCATGACTATTTGCACTCTGTCTGCAGCCAAGTATGAAAGTATCACTGTACAAACGCGATCCTTCTCTTTAGGATTGAACACCGTAATGGGTGATTCTTTTAGCACTACGAAAAGAGCGGCCGAGCGTCCATGCCTGAGCATCCAGTCGACATTAACGTCGTTACCTAATCAAATACCAAATACATTGTTAATTCTTGAAAATATAAATATAAGTTGCACACATTTTTAACGAACTTACATAAGAGATGATCGTTAAATGCAATTGCTAATTGTTCTGGATTCAACCATCGTAAAAGCGCGCCGAAACAACCGGCCACCGCGTTTCTTGTGACATCTTCTGGATGACTAAGCATGTTGCTGAGCGTTGCGAATACTTGTTTCTTCATTGGATCAGTCATTTTGTCACCAGCGGGAGTCAATACACCTCTGAGAGCTTGCAGCATTGTCTCCCTGTATAATAATTAATATTAAATTCTTATAAAATATTTAAAAACATGAAAAAAGAACATATCTGTAAATTTATCTATTTATCAAGATTACCTTATTGCTGGATCATCTCCTGTCTTGATACCAGTATGAAGTTCAGTAAATAAAGGATCGACACGCGTATGAATGACAATCAAATTGCTAAGAGCGTAAGCTGCTTTCAATCTGACTTGCCGATTACTGTCATTTAAGGCTCTCAAGAAAGTAGTTTGCAGTTGCGGCAAGAATTGTTTCAACATGACGCCAACCTGTTGAAAGAAAGAGATAAACAAGATATATCAATTATTTCGAATCGGAACAATTACAACATCATTTTGTGATTTGGAACATGTCGAGAATAATACTTCAGTAATTATTTCTTTTATTTTCAAATCACGTAATATAAATTGTGAGAATCGTTGTCTTAGCAAAAATTGTTCACTAATTTTGTACAAACCTTTCCAAGTAATATCGCAAGTGTTTCCAACACGGCTGCTTTAACGCTCCAATTGAAACGATCACCAAGGATTCGAATAAGCGGACCGGTAATGTGTACGACGCTTGGCTGCAATGCAGCTGCGCTGGATAATCTTATAACTTCTCCCAACCCTTGAGCCGCGTGTTCTTTCGCTTCCGGCAAACCATTCAGAATAGCCTCTCTGAAGATTGGTAGTATCGGCGTAATGCCTTTAGGAAGACAAAATCCGGGTAACAATTCCTGACCTTTCAAATCAGACACCGCAAATCGAACGGCTTGCCTGATATCCTGTACGTGCGCTATTTGCTGTTCAGATGACAGAGTCTGTAAAAAATTATAGAAATATTAGTAATTTTGTTCAAATCATTATGCATTATTTTCATCCAAAGACATTTATACCTTTGTAACAGCCGTGAGCGCCTCCCAACTCATTTGTAATACATCTCTGTCTTCATCAGTAAACAAATGGATCAAACCTCTGAGCAATTGCGGCACATATTGGCTGTAATCGGCGCGAGTGTCGCGACAGAACGCACATAATAACGTCGCGGCGCTTCGCCGTTTTGAGAGATCTTCTGCTCTCGTGGCCTCCATCAGCTGATCCATGACAGTTCTAACGCCTACCTCGTCGGTAACGGAAAGAACGACGGCCTGACAATATTCTAATTCTTGCAGTTCGTTCGCCGTTCCTTGCGCACTGGAAAGAGCAGTAAGTAGTGCTGGCAAGATTCTGTGAAGAAACCTTGTCAATGCTTCTCCTGCCACGCTGGCAAGTATCGACAGCGCTTTCGTGTTAACCGGCGGGGAAGCTAACTGTGGAACTAGATACGGCAGTACAACACGAGATTTGATCGCCATAACTTGACGTAAACCGTCCAACGTATTTTCCGCCTCCGCGGGATCGGGAGAATTCAGTTGGGTTAACATGGCCGGCAATATATCATCGAGCGCGCGAACGCCCACCGTGGAATGCAAACCGTCGAAAGTCTTGGCCGCAGCCTGTCGAACCTCCGGCAACGGATCGCAGAGCGCTTTTCTGAAAAAAAAATCGCTTAATCTAAACGCCTGTGCTTTAACAATCATTATCGTTTTTTTACAAGAACGGTTATCATACTTACCTAACTGTTGGGACAAGACTAATAACAAAAGTCAACACCATGTCCTTATTGGTGCTCGCCATAATTTCCGAGAGACCTATACACACTCCCTGGCGCTGATCGGCTTGGTCGCTCTGTAAGCCCTTCTCCAAAATCGGTATGATCTCCGGCAGCACTCGCTCTCCCAATTTTCGCACGAGATCGCCCAACGTTCGTGCTGCCACTTGTCTCTTATCGTAGCTCGTACTCGCCAAACATCCCAATAGAAGAGTGAACAAGGTCGGTAATATCTCTCGCAACGTTCTCGGTGTATTCGTCACCACTACCTTCCAAACGTGAAGAGCTGCCTGGCGTACCATTAGAGCTACGTCCGATCGACCCATATAGAGACCGGCCAATACGCGATTCCGTCTCTCCGCGCCTAAAGCGTTTATAATGGCATAATGTGACTGTTCTGTACCAAAATTATCATCCTCGCTTGCAGTTTCAGTCGACATCTTGCCCGACACGCCGGAAATCCTGTACAATAAATCACCCAACAGTTGCACGGATGAATATCGAATACGCCAGTTGTCGTCGAAGAGGCCCTTCTCCAATTCCGGTAACAGCAACATTATCGCTGAGTCGGCGTAAAGAGTTACGATACGTTGTCCCGCTCTCAGCGCGGTCTCCCGCACGTATTCGTTCTCATCGGCCAAAGCCTTCAGAATCGGATTAATGATCTGTCCTATGTATGGTGTGAATTCTGTTGTAAACGCGCTCGGCATGTATATGAACATCATAATATATCCGTCTTTCACGTGGGGAGCAATGTCAGTTCTCTCAGCGGTACTAATGATCTCGGGCATGAGCTTGTGAAGTTTCTCGACGCCCAGTCCGCGTACCACCTCGGAGAGACCTTGCGCGGCGCCGGATCGGTCGACGCTACTGGTCTCAGAGGTCAAGGTTTGCATCAGCCACGGTAATAGATCCTCAAAGCTAGATTCACCCATCCCGCGTACCATCGCGCCCAGCGCTCTCGCTGACACGCTGCGCACTTCAGGCACGGGATCGAGCAGGCTCGTCTTCAAGCCCGGTATAATAGTCGGCAGATACGGAGTCAGGTCCTTCTGGTCCGTTAAGGAGTACATGTTGCCTATGATCTGCGCGGCCATCTTCCTGGTCTCCGTCGAACGATCAAGGAACGCACGCTGCACGACGGGCATAATTAAGGCTAGCGAGGGAGCATCGATGAAGTGTACGAATTGCGTATCCAACAAAGTCTGCAGACAAGTAGCGGTTTTATGCGAAGGATCCTGCAATGCTTTCAACAATACCGGCACAATCGCTTGAATCTCCGGATTACGAATGACACTTCCGATGACCTTGAGTGCCTCCGCGCCAGCTTCTTGCACCTTTGTATGGGAATCACTGAGTACTTCTATCAGTTTGGGAACAATATTCGGCAAACAGCTGCTCAACTGCTTTGGCGCACAATATGCCATAGCGCCAAGTAATTCGACAGATCCTATAAAAACAAATTTTAAATACTAAATTTAACATGTTTCATTTTACTATTGAGATGAATAGTAATATAATCATTAAAGCAACTTTGTATTTTAAATTGAAGCAAATAAGTCATTAGTCTCATATTTTAAGACAAAAATAATACATGAAAGAACAATAAAATTTAACTAGCAAGAATAGAATCGGTAGAAAAAATACTCTCATTATTTGCCAATAAGATCAATGCGAATTATATGCGACATACCTGTTTTCGTTCTCCATGAATCTTCTTCCAGAGCCGCCAACAGACTCGGCAAAACAAGCTTAACGCCGTGGGCGGAAAGTTTACTCATCACTACCCTAGCAGTATCGTCAGTGGCAGTTCTTACGTACTGACTCGAATCACCGAAGCACAGCAGCAAGTGCGGCAAAACATGCACAATGTAAGGCTCGAACAATCTGCCGAGCATCGTACACAGCATCTCGAAGGCGAATAGCGCTCCCTCGCGATGTCGGTAGTTCTTCTTATCTTGAATAGCGTTGGTCAGTTTGCTCATGATATCCAATTGTTTCAACGCGAGAATTCCCATACCCTTGATGAGACCCGCCAGTCCGTATGCCGCGCCCTTACGCTCACCGTATTTGTCCGATTTGAGCAGCTGGTCCATCAGATTGTCCACGATTTTCGGCGCATCTTCCTTAATAGAATCCGTCAGATGCGGCAAACAATTGGCCACAGCCTCCTGCACCTGTTGCGAAGGAGTAGAAAGTGCCGCAATGAGACGCATCACAATTGGCTTGATTCGCGGATCGTTCTTATCCAAGTGTCTTGCGAGTGATCCCATGAGAATTACCACCGATTGTTTGATTGAATCGAAGCTGCCAATTTTCGGCGCTTTGTCCATGAAATTCTCGAAGACTGGAAGTAGCGAAGTTATGTTCGCGCTACCGTGAAGATCGACCGCCGCGACGGCAGCCGTCAGCATCTCGGTGCGTACAAATTGGTTTCTGTCTCCGAGTCCAGTTAACACGAAGAACTGGATGAGCCGGTGTACCGTATCAGCGGTAAGAAGCGGCGCTATCTGGGCTAGGGCAAGCGCTACCCCGCGCCGCGGGCCCCACGTATCAATCGGTGGCTCGATGACGCGACCAAAATCATTCAATTTCGGCGGGATCATAGCCAACTTCTCTTGATACAATTGCAACAGATTGTCTAATACAGACGGTGTTAAATGGGGCACGCTGGCCAAGCTCTCCGCTAATGCGTGAGCGGCCGCCTGTTGCACTGGCTCGACCGGATGAGCGATGTCTTGAATCAATTCCTCGCAAAGGACCTCCGCATGTGCGGTAAAGTCGGCCGCGTTCCATAATTCGGTGGCGAGAATCTTATTCTCGTCGTTTACGTCAAATCGAGCAATCCATACTCTTCTCGTGAGTCTGTCGAGCTGATCCCGATCCTCCTTCCGGGACGGGAAAGCTTGTCGTATTACGGTCAGTCCTCTAAGAGCCGCGTCCCTCACAGTAGACAGCGAATTTTGCAACGCACCGATCAAGGAATCTATATCCTCACTGGTGGCGATTGCTGTACCCGGTTGACCACTGCCGGATTGTGCGACGTCTAACAAGGTTGCCACCGCATGTGACTGCACTCGACCTGTTGTGGTCTCCATAAGTTCGATAAGCAGATCAAACATTTGTTTACGCGGCAAAAGTCTAGGATGCCTAATGTCTTTCAGATCGGTAGTACTGTCGCCTCTCTGCTTAGCATGTTCCTGAATCAATTGCAATCCCTGCACAATCATGCCATCATCCTTATACGATAACAAAGTCTTTCTTATGAAGGGAAAAACGTAACAAAATGCAGGCGCCGTAAATAATTCCTTCCTCTTGATCGTTACCGCGTGTATAAGATTCAACGTTCTTTTAACCGCCGTATCGAGATTTTCCTCTTCCCAGGCTTGATCTAAATCGCATTGTGGTTGCAATTGCCGTAATGTAACATGAGCGATAAGATCACCTAAAGTTACGTTATTATCCATTGTCACCGTTTGACGAAGGGATATATATAGCTCTGACATTTCAGGAGCTGCCAGTGGAGAACCCAGATTTTTCAAAATGGGCGGTAAAAGATCCTTCAAGTACAAGGATAGTTCTTGCTGATTACCGCGTATCGAGCATGTCACTAAAGACACGGTATTATCTATCTTGGCTTTCAATTCAGTTAATCTCTTACGAATATCATTTTCTTTCGCAATCTGTGCTTTCAAAGTCTCTTCTTGTTTAGGCGTTAATTTTGGTTCCTTTATCTTGCCTTCTCGTTTTCGTTTCTCATATAATTCGCGTCTCAGTTGAAGTTCCTCTTGCTGTTCCTTAAATGAGTAAACTTTACTTTCTCTCTTCATATTCATGGAGTTGAGAATATCATTCTCGTCATTGACAGGCAACACGCTCTTATCATAAAGCTCTCCTTCGGGAGTGAGATACGTAAAATATTCGTCCTTGGTAACTCTTAAAATTTCTGGATCATCCAGTTTACTTGTAACATTCGACACTAATGCGGGTAGAAAAGCGTCTGGTGCGAGTGATACGATTTTTACAAGTGCATTTTCATAATTTGGTACCGGTTTATAATTCTGAATCAACATTTTCCTCACTTCGTTACTATAGCTACGTAAGAAATCCTTTGGTATGAGATTGTAATTCTTAGCGATCTTAAACCATAAATTTGGTACAGCTTTGAGCAACGCCGGGTGATGAGATGGAAGTAGAGCATCTCTAGTCATTTGATAGGTAGGTACTTCGAATAAAAAGGAACCTGAGCATATGGCGAGCAATCCGTCTGCGAGACATCTACCGGTGATTTCCCCCATAGAAGATTCTTCTTTACTTTCTTTATCCGATTCCGATTTAATCTTAACGTTCTCCAAAAATTTATTAAATTCCGTTAGTAGAGCCTGCGCCGGTGCATACGTACTCAAACCGGTCATAATCTTCTTAACCAATGGGAAACATCGTTGTCGCGTCGCGGAATTTGAGGCAGTAGCGCAAGATACAATTGCTCGATGAATCCCGGTTAGAGCTTTTTCGTTCAGTCTGTCGGAAAATTCGGTGATTAGTCGTTCGCATAGTAACATAAGATGATACAAAATATCGTCGCCGCATGTCGACAAAAACTTCTCGGAAAAGAATATTTGTTCGTCGATCGCATTCCACAATACATTCTGCTTGTCGTTTTCCACTTGATCGGCTAATACGAACTTCAATAAGAGATACGAAGCGACTAGACCTTCGGTTACCGCTGTCGGTTGCGCGCATTGCTGCATAGTTCGTGTTATCGCTTGCGCGAGTATCGGTGCGATTACTGTCGAGTAAGGGGTGGCGGGAGTCGAGAAGAATAATTTGATGTAAGCGGTACGCACTGCGGCGGTGGATGTTTTCGCCGCCATGCCTTTCTTAAAAGCATCTACTACGATTTTCGGTAGAGTGGATGAAAATTTCTTGGACCATAGTGCCATCATTTCGAGAGCCTGTATCAGCGTCTTCTCGTGAACTTCAGTCTCGAGTACTTTGACGAAATGCTCGCACGCTGTTTCGGCTAATTTTTGCACACTGCTACCCGAAGCCACGTTATAGCTAAGATTGCCGGCTCCTTGCAATACTGAGATCTTATAAGTTGCGACTGTAAGCTTGCCTTCTGATCCATGAAACACTGCAAATACGGATGATAGCAGTGTCTCTAAAGCCGTCGTATCGGAACACTGTAAAGCAAGTTTACGACACGCTCCAACCGCTTCATCTCTCACTAGATCCTCCTTAGAATGTAGATTAGCAAATAATCCTTTACTTATCTCTTGGCTATACTGGCTCAAATCAAGACTTAGTCCGCTTAAAATGAGACCGACTGATTCAATTATAATTTCCGGATTTCGCAACATAGCTTTCTGTAAAGCAGGAAGTAATTGGGTTTTGAATTCTTCGTGAGTTAATCTCCGAAGAAGTGGCACAGCTACATCCACCACATACAAATCTGGCTTCTTCTTACAACTAATCGTCACTTTTATAAAAATGTCTATCATGTTTGTCTGAAATGTATAAAAATACAATATAATACACAAACAATATATACTATAATTATAAATATAATTATAATATTCTTAATATATTGTTCATGTACTTACTTTCAATTGTTCTACCAAATCATTTCTTTTTGTAGAAACTAAATATTTCGTAAGTAAACTGGCTAGAATAATTACTCCATTACCAACTTCCAATTTTGTCAAATTTTCCACATAATTAACTTCTATATTCTTAATGGCTGTCCATTCATGTGCAAATAATGTGTACACCTTGTTTGCAAGTTTTTTATCTGCAGATGCCAAAGCTGCAGCAGATAAATTTGCCTGTGCTTCAATGAGCTTTGCTAAAAACTCATTCATCTCGGTATTATCCAATTTATTATATCCATAAAGAATAACTAAATTTGACCATTTCAATGCAGTATATGCAGTTATAGCGGTATTCAAACTATGAAAAAAAATTACACATAAATACATACACACACACACACAATAGTAGACAATTTCTGATTTTAGACTTACGTCGCAACTACATTCTTATGCCAAGTAGCTTGCTCTGAAATTACGGTTGTCATATGTTTGATAGCAGCTTCTGATTGTTTTTTAAGAAGCTCTATGATTAGATTTCTCACGTAGGACTGAGAAGCACTATCTTTATATCTATGTAAGGTAAGCGATACCACCTTACATATCCCATTAACAATTTTGTCATTAATGCCTGTAAAAAACAGTTCGTGGATTATGTGCACATAATTTTTTTTATCAATTTGAAATATTATAATGAATATTATTTTAATTAAATCACCAAGAAAAGTTTTTATTTATAAATAAAAGTATTTTATGATAGTCTCGATCAAATCATATATACAGAATATATTATTAGTGGTGAAACCCACTTCAGAAATTCATTCAGTATCAGAGAAATAATTCAAAAAATGTATATTATATTTGAGTATTATAACCATTTTTGCAAATTCCTCCCTGCCCCCATAATTATTATTATGATATGCAAAGTTTATATATAATCAATAATAATCACACATTTTTATATCTCATATATACATATATATAATTTATTTATTATTTTTTAAATATTAATCTGCTGTATATGAGTAGGAATTATTAGTAATAGTTTAATTGGCCCTGCGTATATTATTAAGAGATTCTTATTAAAATTTCTGAAGTAATGAATTAATGTATGTGGTTTTACTTGGCATTATAAAATTAATCATTATATGTGTCTCAATGAAAAAAAATAAATGTAAAAGTCAACTTAAATGTATCCACAAACATACGACAATGCAAAAGTAGAAACGTAACAATAAAATAATATTTATACATCACATTTCTTTTTTTTATAATAAATCTCTTTTCAAAGAAAAAATATAGTTATAATATATTATTCAATTTAAAATATTAAAAAATTTTTTTTTTAGATATCTACACACACAATATATGTGTTAAATGATTTTCTTAAAATTATATCCATCTTCAATTATATCCAAAGTCAAAACTTGAATGTCAAGTTATCATTCGTATAGTCACTTCAACAGGAATCAATATGCACTGATTCTTTTCACATTTTTTTACAAATTTTTACATTTTATGTCTGTTTCAATTATAATATATTGGAATCACAAGAGATATATATACATACATACATACATATATATGTATATATAAAACAATTGCAAAATTACAAGACAATATTGTAAGTAAGTACACTTTAGATTTCCACATAAACAAGTATATACCACAAATTTTTCTCGAAAGCACACATAAATTATGCCGCACAATAAGTTATCCGAAGCAGATGTTTCCTCATATTATTTTCGTATCACCTTAAAAATATATAAGAACCACTCATCTCTCTCTTATCAAGAAGTAATACGTTCTCTAACGATTCTTACCGGGATTTGATAATACGCTGGCGACATTTTGCAGAATTTCACGCCGCTCCTTTTTGCTGGCGGTCTGAACTCGATTCGGTAAATCCTTCAAAGCTTTTGTTAGCTGCAACAAATCACACGCAAATTATAATAACGTAGCGGCAAACATAATATAATATATTTTCTCGCGTTCCACGTGACTCGCTCACCTCAACATCCGCCATATTTCTTCAAAAATCAGAGTGATTCTAAAGCGCCGCTCTTCGGGAGCATGTAGTTTACACGAATACGATTAGAATCGAAACGCATGCGGCTTTATCTCGTGTTACATTGAAGAAAGGCTTCGAACACACACAGATCTAAAAATAATAAAATACTTTTCTATCCCAATTTTGATCCCGCTTTATTTTTAATAAGCTTTCTAAATACTAAAATTGCTATATATTTTATTTATTAAATCTCATCTCTGTGCATATTGCTATAATAATAAAAAAGAAACTTGAAATATATATATTTTAATTTATAATTAATTTGTATTATAGATAGATTAGATTAAACATTTTATATTGCGCAATCCTTAGTACATACTTATTTTTGCGCATATACACTCTCCATTTTGTGACAACGCAAAATCAAGTGACGTTGCGTTACTTTACATCACTGCATATCCTGCGGTCATCGCAGCATGTGGCGAGAAGCTGATTTGTTTTTGACGTGCTATGTGTCAATTAACCTGAAATAGATTTGTGGACACTTTGAAAGAATAAGACCATACTGCGTCTTATGGTAGATGAGAATCTAATCAAAAAGTACATATATTGTCGTGGTATTATTGAAAAAAATGAAATGTCTTTAAAAAATTGAAAGAAAAAGAGAGAGAGACAAACAACACAAACAATGGATAAAATTTTTAAATCGATTCATACAAGCCGACCGGCGTTGTATAAAACTCTAACGAATGAGCAATGCATACAGTAAATAATTTATACTTTTATTATATATATTTCTATTGAGTGACATAATTTCATATATAAACATTTACACGTTTTTCAGAGTATCGAATAAGCTTTCTGTAAAACGATGTGTACCTGTAGTCAATAGAATGTTATCAACACAAGAATATTCCACGTAAGGCTTGTAAATTTGTTACTTTTTTTATATATACAATAAATTTAATGTATACTGCATTCACATATATATCTTCTTGGATAAAACAGTGTCTATAGGTACACAAATTTTTCAGGGCTTTTCCTGTTGGTCTCAGGCACTGGTATGGTGACAGTGAAACATCAATTTGTATACTATCTTCTAAACACAATCCTTCTACATCTAGCCAACAAAGACGTAACATGTTTATTCAGACACAAGATACACCAAATCCAAATAGCTTAAAATTTATCCCAGGATTATCAGTATTGGGGGAAGGATGTACAAAAGATTTTCCAAGTGCAAAAGATGCATATTGCTCATCACTTGCTAAAATGTTATTTCGTATTGAGGGAGTAAAAGCAGTATTTTTTGGGCCCGATTTTATCACAGTTACAAAACTCGATGAGGATGTAGAATGGAAATTGTTGAAGCCAGAAATATTTGCAACTATAATGGATTTCTTTGCGAGTGGATTACCAATTATGGATGAAACCTCTCAACCTGCTACAGATACACGTAAATTTTATATAGTTTAACTTTTGTATAAAAATATTCGAGAAAGAATAGAATATCTAATTATTTCGTTAATTTTTATAGAAATTAATGCAGATGATGATGAGATTGTTCAAATGATAAAAGAATTATTAGAAACACGAATACGGCCTACAGTACAAGAAGATGGTGGTGACATTGTATTTATGGCGAGTGTCTAAATTAAAAAAAAATATATATATACATATTGCATTTTAATTTGTTTAAATATAATGCATTATTTTTATTTGAATAGGGATTCGAAGAAGGTATTGTAAAATTAAAGATGCAAGGTTCCTGCACAAATTGTCCAAGTTCGGCAGTAACGTTAAGAAATGGTGTACAAAATATGATGCAGTTTTATATACCCGAAGTACTTGGAGTTATACAAGTGGAGGACGAGACGGATAAAATTGCAGAGAAAGAATTCCAAAAATTTGAGCAAAAGATTAAAGAAAAGAGTAAAGACAAATAGGTATTATTATAGTTGTTGATGATCTGTAGACGATGAAATCTATACTTTATCATCTTGTAAATTTATATATTGTATTGTAGACACGCATATTATGTATCAGAGTTAAAAATAAATAAATAAAGTGATACACACATAAGTGATATATTGATATTTGGTTTTAAACTTTTATTACAAAGTATTTATCTGCTAGATACAGAAACTTGCCAGACACGAATAGTATTATCGGAATACCCTGCAAACAGTGTCTGACCATCAGTGGACCATGCAAGAGACAAACACAGAGGAGGTTCCGCTTTACTGGTTGCCGATACAACCTCGGGTTTTAATTCCTCGACCATTTCTTTAGTCTCAAGATCCCAGATCTTGATCCATGGTCCAAACGCGGCGCAGAGCCAATAACGATTAGGACTGAAACACAATGCTGTGATGATATCGTTATGGTCCAAAGTGTGGAGATGTTTGCCGTCATTCAAGTCCCATAGCATGGCTTTGCAATCCTATAAATAGAAATAATATAAGTTTATCGGCATGATTTGAATTTATGCAAATAAAGTTAAAAATATATGTACTTTGCCACCAGATGCGCAGAGTGATCCATCGGGTGATACTGTAACAGTATTCAGATATCCTGTATGACCACTATGATTGATCTTTAGTCTGCAATTTGTCAAATTCCAGACCTGCAAATAAATTGTTAAATTAGTAATAGATATATAGTATTTATAATCATAGAGAGATATACGAGATATATATCAGTCCCATATCCGCATACACTCATAGTAAATCATGTATATTATGAAAATATCCATCATTCTTATTAAATATTTTGTTTATGTTCCTCTATATTCAATCTTCTAAATATAAACTGCATTCTTACTTTAACAACGCGATCCCAGCCTGCCGAAACAATGATGGGGTTTGCATGGTTGGGAGAGAAGCGTACACAACTGACCCAGTCCGAATGTCCATCATCTTGAATGGTATATTTACATTCGGCTAATGTGTTCCACAATTTAATTGTCTTGTCTCGTGAACCAGAGACAATTTGACGATTGTCCACAGAAAAAGCAACACTCAACACATCCTATCGACAGAAACAAACTTAGAATAAATTAATAAAACTATTATCAAATCAATTTTGTTAATATCAATACTTACGATACCACTGATTTAATCAGTGTCTACTTCTTCTACTTTCAACATAAAAAAAAATATTAAAAAAAAAGCTTCAGTACATATTTCCCGTCGAATTGCTACTTCCCTCGTCACACAAAAAGAATAAATGAAAAATAATTCTTTATATTACTAAGCAATATTTTGTATTATAAAGGATTATTCTTTCTTTTCTCCTTATTACGAAGTAAGTAAACCCATATAAATGCGTCGCAGAAGAGCGAAGAATCACACCTTGGTATGGTCTTCAAATCTTCTGGTCGTACGACCTGCTGCCAAATCCCAAAGACGTAAGGTTTTATCCCACGAACCAGATAGCGCGTAGTTACCATCGGATGAAAGAACCACGTCACTTATGAAATGCGAATGACCGTAAAGACGCTTCTGTGGTATACCGTAGTTAGCTTCGTCACGTGTCAATTTCCATACTATCAAAGTCTTGTCTAGAATGAGGAAAAAAGAATAAGTAACGCGCTATGTTATCACTTTCAACTGATAGAATTTTTAAACCGTAACCGAACAAGAGTAATGTACGATGCGAACAGATGGAATATTACAAATGATATACAAAAATTATGTCGCGAACTCCTATTTAACATTAATCAAAATTATGATACGAATGCGGTAAATTGTACTAACAGGTTGCAAATATATAAATAGAGGCAAAAAAAGGATTAAAGCCATGATAAAAGAAGAATGAGAGAAGAAGGTTGGCGTTTTCAGGCGGTATGCTTACCACGTGAAGAAGATAGAATCATGTCCGGATATTTCGGATTCGTGGCGATTTGCGTGACCCAACCATTGTGGCCGCGAAGCGTGCCTCTCAGCTGCAGAGTTTCGGTCATTTCGACTAGTTTTAAAATGCGTTATATCGCGGATGGAAACGGATTCTTCCGTACGAACCGCGTTCAATCGAACATTGGACGAGAAAGAGGGAATGGCGCGCCTCTGTTGCTCGGCCGACATGGGTCAATGTTCGCGGATATATTGATGTGCCACCTACCTGTGAAAATATGACGCGTTACTTTGGGCGCACTCAGCGGACTCAACAGTTTGGTAGCAATCGAACGTGATTGGTTCTTACTTTTAGAACCAACAATGTCGAGTGTTGACAAAACCTTATTGCTTCTAAAAAAGAGAAAAGTAAAAAAAAGATTACAAGTATGGAAAGTGCAGTTGAAAAAAACAGATGTATATTTCACTCAATGGCGATTGAGACTTTGAGTATATGAGCTGTCAGATTCAACCGATCAAATTAAGATATTTTATATGATGGTGTGTGTGTATAAGATGGTGTTAGTTGCTGTATTTGCTGTGTCTGTGAACGCTACCATTGAATAGTTTACGGCAGTTTACGTTCACACCTATGGTATACGTAGCATACGTCAAAGATCCATCTCATGAACTTTATGGACGTCAGAATTATCGGTGACAAGTGACAAGTCGAAGATAAAAATCGACCAAAGATTCCTCATGCAATGAACAACGCGGCATTATCGGATCGCTAATAAATGATTCAGTAATCGTTCGCATTAGGTATGATGTTACATTTAAGGATATATTAATATGGATGAATTCTGATCTGACGTTGACAGTTTGAAAAAGTCATGGCATTTTGGGCGTGATTTACAAGGAAAATTAAATGTTTTTTTCCTCGTGTTAATTTTTGGATCGATATGATTAAAGACAGAAAAACAATTTCCCGTTTGCTTTAAATATATTATTAAACTGAAGAACATTATAAAACTATAATGCATTATAATAGCAAAGCTATGATGACTAATGTCTTGCATACTGTTAATTTGCTCATGATTTTAGCTGTTACTTGAAAAATTATTGAGTATATATTTTTTTCTATGTTTATAAATGATTAAACATTATTTCTGATAAAATATGTAATGAATATACATAATAAATTTGTTATATGTATATTTTAAAAGATGTTTATATAGTGGTAACATCTGTATGTGTGTTAAACTTAGAAATGGCTGCAGGAGGTAGCAGCTTTATAAGCAAGCCAGCCAGAGGTTGGTTACATCCGGATCATCTAGTAAGTAAGGAAGGAATTACTTATACAGTGAAGGTATGTCATTTATTATTTTGCTTAAGATATATCAAGATATTCATGTATTTTTCAAATTTCAAATTTTTTATTAACTCTTGGATGTATATCATGGATCAAAATAATTTTGTTTTATGATAAATTTTGTATTTATAAGTCTCATTTTTATAACATGCTTTTTCAGTATATTTGATTTGTTGTATTTAAATGTTATGAAAAGATCAAAGTATATCAAGGACAATAATGTAAACATAAGGCACTGTTCAAAGTTGATTCAATTTCTGAGAGAATTTATATTATTCTTTCTGCTTCTCTTCTCCTTGATATTTAAATATCTGTATCTTATTGTTAGCAATGAAACATAAAAGATTTTCTAATAAAACAAAAATATAGAAAGACAAAAAAATTATTCTGATGTAACTTAGATCGCATCAAATTTTTTTTTTTTTTTTTTTTTTTATTTTTTGTATAAAAATTACAGTATATTGGATGTCTCGAAGTATATACATCTATGAAAAGCTTAGATTTTGAAACACGGTCATGTGTAGCTAAGTAAGTTGTCACACTCTATGTAATTTTTACTGTCAGAGAAATATATTCTCAAATATACAATAAATAACTTTTAATTTATATTTTTAGGGAATGTATAAACAGAGTTTGTGAAGCTGCTGGATTAAAATCCGCTGACAAAAAGAGGAGGGTACTGTATCATTTAAAGAGATTATTATATTTACAGATAATTATTTATATATTTATATAATTTTTATCAAATTTTTCTTGACTTCAGGTTGATAGAAAAGTGTTAAGAGCCATAGCAGATAAACCTCGTATGGAGCACACTGCTTCCAGTGTAAATTTAACCATTAGCAGTTGTAGTTTGTCCTTAACAAATATCGAAAATGGACATATTATTGCTAAACATGACATGCCACGCATATCTTTTGCTTCAGGTGGTGATACGGTAAATAACACCTGTACTGTTCTTTATATATTTCAATATGTGGTGAACATCTCAATAATCAGTATAAATACTAGTTATTATATTTTTCACTTTTGTATCTTATTAGAATTGAATCTTATAATATATAATAGGAAATACTGGATTTTGTTGCATACGTGGCTAAAAATATGCAAGAGTGGCGTGCATGTTATGTGCTTGAATGCGCAGGTGGTTTAGCACAGGATGTTATATCCACTATTGGACAAGCATTCGAGCTTAGATTCAAAGAGTTTCTTACAAAGCCAAGTTCTCTGCAGTAAGTTTCTGTAGAAACACATTAACATGAAATGTAAGTCGTGATAATTTTCATTTATTTAATCACTTTATATATCTGCTTATAGCCCTGTACTAAATGGTGTGCGGGAAGCAGATAGAGATTATTACAATGATCTACCAGGCAAAGTACCACCTGACATTGGCCCACCACCAGTACCACCTCTACCTACTACAACATGCACACTGCCCAATCTGAAGCATCATCAAAATCATACATCACGAATTCATGCACAAACTACTGCAATGGATTTATTTTCTTCTGCCACTGATAGACAACATCAGGAATGGGCAGGTAATATTTTTTATAAAATGATTTTTTGACATGTATATAAACTACAAATTATATGTATATTTATAGAGAAAATTTAATTTTTACCTAATTTTTTTCTTATATTTAATCTTCTATTTTTGTCTTTCTCATCACAGAAACTGGGAACCTAATTGACTTGAACTCGGATGGTACTGTATCCTCATCAACAAATCTAAATACGATGCCTGAGCACAATTATGTGAATGATAGTGTCATAGCTGCAAACAGAGATAATCATCGTGATCCAGCATCACTTTTTGATGTTTTTGATATGCGTAAGAATCATTTATAATTTATATTATCTTGTGCTTTTAATGACGATTCATAATTTATTGCCAGGTTACAACAGGTTCTCACAAAATAATGTTGACCTATTACAGATGTTTGCTTCTTATAATCTTGTATTTCTTTATGTGTCGTCTCACATATTGACATCTTAAGCATATTTTTTTACTTGAAAAGATTTGTTCTAATTTTATATTCAAGATCTGCTATTAACGGTCCTGATTTATATTTATTTATAATTTATTACTTATTTCAAACTCTTTATTTACGAATTCTAGAACCCTTTAGTTCTGCAATATCGGATATGAATAGACTAAGTCCTCAAGCACAAATACAACAATTGAAGCAAGAAATATGGTTTCATGGAAGTGTTAGTCGATCTGAAGCGGAATCTATGCTTAGTAGAGTAAATATATTTGCCATTATGTATATATATAAATATCATATATTATTTAATATAAATTATCTTTGCAATTGCTTTATATTTTATTCTTTAAGGATGGTGATTTTCTGGTTCGAGAATCACAAGGTTCTCCTGGTCAATATGTTTTGACTGGTATGAATAATGGTACTCCAAAACATTTATTGTTAATTGATCCTGAAGGCGTTGTAAGTATTGCATAAAGTAAAATTTACACATAATAAAATTTATATTAGTGCAAATAAAAGCTCGTGTATAATCGGTAGAGTTCCTAAAATATTTTTCAATTATATAAATCTTAATTTATTTAAATATTTTTATTATTAAATATATATTTATCTCTTTAAATATACGGTCTAATAAAATTTTGATAAATAATGAGCATATGGAAAAAAGTAGTACAAATTTTTGCTTGCAGGTTCGCACAAAAGATCGTGTATTTGATAGTGTAAGTCATCTAGTGAATCATCACTGTGACAATGTATTGCCTATCATATCTGCTGATAGTGTTCTAGTACTGCGTTATCCTATTCCCAGGCATACAAATTATTAATTTTTCTAACAGCGAATAATTAAGCATAGACTTAACAAAGATTCTCTAAATAGTTATTTTGCATGTCTGCATGTGAGAATCTTTGGTAAATCTAGCTTCCGTGATATTTTTAAAATCAGTCACTTCACACAAAAACATAAATATATGTATATTGTTTGTAGTATCTTTTTATTGTACATGAATAGATGATTTATGAATATTTGTCTCTCTGTGAATCCTTATAAAATGTGCCAATCCAGCCAAAGTATTTATAATATATAATTTCTATAATTTATCAGAATCAAGCACATTCCGATTTTTTGTATAATATATTATCATTTGGCTTTTTTGTGATATATTTTTTATTTACATAAGAGCCATACAAATTTATAAAAAAATTTTATATGATGTCCAACGATGTTTTAGATGTATATCATACAATATGCTTCTTAAGTTAAATACATTGTTAGCATCTCATTATGCAGAAATAGCTACAATAAATATAATTTCACGCAGTATGTTGTCATTGATTTTTTATTTCATTAATTAAAATTCTTGATGTTAAAGAAGTATACACACTGAAAAAGTTTATTAGCATTTTTTTTTTTGTGATTGTATAAAGTACAATAGACATTATGTTTACATATAAGCTTATCAAAGATTTGTACTCTTCATGTACATATTGCAGAATGCTCACAATTAATATTTTACATATATAAAGATACTTTTTTACATTTTTTAAGAACATAAAACAAATTTAGTTATATTTAATAAAATATTTATAAAATTATGTTTTATGGTGATAAATAATTAAGCAAAACAAGTAATCATGCCCTTAAAATTGAATTTATTTACAATAACGGTCAGCTTTCATTTTACTTCTTCTATCTAACAGAGTTTCATGTAAATTTCCATCTACTTTTGCTTTTTCTAATTCAGAATGGTCAGACTTATTTATCCTTAACTTCTTATCTTGAAACTTTTGAAACTTCCGTCTGAGAAATAAAATATCATTAATATAAAAAAATATATTTTCAAACATTTTGTTAAAAATAAGATAAAAGAGATGGCAAGTGAATAGCAAGACATTGATGCATAATATGAAAAAATATTAATTAGAAAGTTGAATTTAAATAGCTATTCATTAATCAATAATATATTATTATATTATTACTAAAATTTTATACTTACACATAATTTATTTCAATATCTGCAAGAGAGCCTTGTTCTTCCTTTGGAATATCCTTGTTAGGACTTTGAGAACGTTGTGTCATACTCCTCAGAACAACATATTCTGACGGGCCAGCTGTTCTATTCTGACAAATTATGTCATCATCATTTGTAACTGACATGAAACATCCAGTATTATTTAATATAGCGAGTTTACCATCCTAAAAAACAATGCAATAATATCCTTATAAACCAAAATCCATATAAATATGTTTCCATACATATTTTGCAAGAAAAATTTTATGCAAATAAAGTCACTTGCATCTTATCTTCTGTACATTATTGATTTAAAAAATATATTAAAATTATTAAACATTCCACATTAAAACTTCATAAATTTCTATTTAATAGATTTTTAACTTTCTAATTAGTAAACAATATACAGAATGGATATACAAAAACCAAAAATGATATAAAAACCATATTAAACAGTTTTTTAAATGGCTGCAGAAAAATAAAAAATACAAGAATAATGCAAAATCATTTCTATAAACATTAATATTTATACATATATATATATATATATATAAATTACTTGAAAAATTGGTTCCCACTGCTCGATCGAACCTACAGCATCATTACGTCCAATAACAATGCTTTTTTTATCAACACCAAGATATTTGCCATAACCTGATTTCAAAGCAATTTTAGTCTCGCTTATGGGAAACGCTGTTAAGATTTCCTCTGGTGATGGACCTTCTCCTTCGGCATGCGGTGCACCAAGAGTAAATAGTCCATTATCAAGTGCTTTCATATAAGTTTGATTTCCAAATTCTATAGCTACTGTTCCTGTGATCTCTAATATATTCTTAACCTTCCACCATCCTCCTATAACATAAATTACCATTTATACAAGTGAATGCTTTTCATTTTTTGTTCCCTGTATATAATAAAAAGATTAAATAAATAAATACCATGAGTAATAGTGTCCTTATTTTCTACTGTTACATCCTGTTCTTTTTCTTGTGTCTTAGATTTTCGTTTTTTTGGTCTGGAATGGAAAAAGATATTTTAAATATTTAACAAAATGAGAGAAAGAAAGAAAGATATATATCTTAAATAAATTTCTTAAACAAAAAGGAAGTAAATTTTTAAGTATACCTTGATTTTTCTCCTTTTAATTTTAACTTTCCTATTCTTACTTTTTCGTATTCTGACATTTTACTATCTTCCAAATTTCTATTATCTTTATACCAAAAAATAAATAAAAAAACAGCACGCGTTTTTATTCTAAATTTTTGTGAACTACGAACTAGAATACGTTACTGAGAAAGCAAGAAAACATTGGTAGACGCCATAAATATACACGGGACCGAGCATTGAGCATATTGTTTCAGGGGGAAGGGGGAAGCCATTGCGGCGTGTGACGAGTAAAATGTGCCTAAATTTGATTGGCTGTTATTTTGCGCAAACTCAGTGATACTAGTGTCGTTGGCGGCTGTCAAACGATTTCTGCTAATTCATTAGCTCATATAGTCTAGGATTACGTTGAGTAGAATAGCATAAAAAAATTTTAGTCTAGAACCAAAATCGATTATATTTATACATTAATGGTTGGAATCGGATTGTGTAAATGGGACAAAAAATAAAAAAGATAATACTGTATAAGAAATTAATATTTTTAATAAATGCTATATAAAAAATTAATACTTTTAATAAATTATTACTGATACAAAATTATTAAAGTATATCATTCTCTTTTTTTATCACTTTTAATTAAGAAAGTCAAGGAGCTAACTTATGATTAAGAAAATCAAAGAGTGCTGTCATCTAACGAGTTATTTATGTCATTTCTATCATCAATCTCCTCCTGCAATAGAATATATAATACAGAACATTTAGAGTAATAACTAATATTAAGTATAATATCAGTACAATATGTAGACAACATTACCTGTAGTACTTCAATCAATGTTTTTGTCTCATCCAACATCTCTTTATATATACGATTTTCTTCTTCTAATTTTTCAATGCGTTGGTAAAGTTTTTTATTTTCCTCTAAAGTATCCAAAAGTACCATTCTTCGCCTTTCAGCCAAGACTTGCAAGTAGTTATCACTAGGATTGTCTGAATCATATAAAATAAATACTTTGATAAATTGTCTTTCATTATATTTTTGCAATCTGCATGAGAAATATGCACAATAGACAGAGAAAAACAAAGAGAAAAATATTTCAAACATACCTGATGTTAAATCCTCGGCTTCAATTTTTACTTTCTCTTCTTGTGCGGTTTGGGTAGCTTTGTTCTCGGTTGTAATTTTAGAAGCATCTTTTTTTGTTGTTTTGATCATATTCCTAATATATAAATAGATCAGTATCCATTTTCTTAAAAAATATGATTTTATATAATACAGCTTTTTAACTCACCTTTTTATCTTTCTTTTTGGTTGTTGCACAGATCTAAGAATCCTATTAGTGCCAACTAATGTTTCCTTACCAGTGGCTGTTGGTTGTAATACTTGCAAAGGTTTTCTGATCTTCTCCTATTTTACCAAAAAAAAAAAAAAAAAAAATTATAATATATATATATACACTTTTATAAACCAACTTGTAAGCAACTTTATCAATTTTCTATTTATATTTTATTTGCATTGATATCATTCCTTCTTTTTTTATTTTTCATATAGCAATTATATTACTTCCTATTTATTTAAAATGCAATATATACATATATAATAAAACATGCATTTTCTTATAAATTTATATATTATTATTCAAATATTCTTTGAACAACTAATTTTGTCAGGCTACTTATATATAAAATTACGTTATAGCATCTCAAACGCATTTCTTTTTAAATTTCTAAAATATGAAAGAAATAAAAATGTATGCTAACTTTAGAAGCGATCGTCCCGATATCAGTGACTGATTCCATCTTATCCGATTTTAATAATTCAATAGAGAATCTGGAAAAATATCGTTTAATCAGCGCACCAAGGTCAAATGTGTTATTTTATTTACAGATTATATAATGATACCCACAACAATCAAGATGTGTCGTTTGGACAAAATCTCAATTGAAAACAATTGAAAATAATCACACGATCCAGATTAAACGCCTACGTATTGTCGCTTCTATTATTTTGTAAGCTCAAATCACTTTCGTTCAACAGCGTTCAACATATTCATGTAATTTACACGAATAGCTGTTGAACTTCTTCTTTCTTGAATGGCACCTGCCCTCGAGGGTCAATACGGCCACGGCCAGTTCTGTTGAATCGTTTGGCGGAAATCAGCCGGGAAAGCCTAACCATAGACGATATACATATATAATTGCATCAAAAATGTATATTTATCGCGTCAAATTGACCAATCAGGACAAAAGGGGCAAAGATTGTTGCTTAGGGTTTTTCACTATATTAGTGAGATTGGCCAATCAGTGGGTCTGCAACTGTCAACCATATTCGGCCTTATGCCCGTATCAGACTACGCATTGAAAATTGAAGATTGAAGATTAAAGATTGGAATTTGACTAATCAGACGTACTTGACAGGCTGTAACGGAAGTGTTAGCAGCATAGACATAGTATCAGTGTAGCCGGAAACAGGTCCCGCATAGTATATTTCATAGACATAGTATATCTAGGCCGGTATTCATAGGCCGGTATTCATAGTCCGTTCTTATATTCAAGATCGCCTTAAGTACGATCTTAAGATACATTTATCCTGATTGGTCAAATTTCAATCTTTAATCTTGAATCTTGAATTTCAATGCGTAGTAGGAGTTTTACGATGAAAATTTTTTGCAATGGTCTTTAGTTTTTATTTTTGCAATTAGTCTGTCTAATCATTTCTTACGTTTGTGGTAACCATAGACATAGTATATCTAGACCATAGACATAGTATATCTAGACCGAGTGTTGAGGAGTGGGAGCCGAGGTGCACGTAGAAAAGGACATACTCTGTTTCGTGCCCCTTGCGTTCTCTCTCGCTCGCACAGAGCATAGCGCTCTCTTTCGTCATGCTACGTGCGAGCGAGAGAGAACGCAAGGGGCACGAAACAGAGTATGTCCTTTTCTACGTGCACCTCGGCTCCCACTCCTCAACACTCGGTCTAGATATACTATGTCTATGGTACCCCCCTTACCTCAGGGAACGAATCGTTGACGCGTAGTGTACACGTGCACTTAACCTCGAAGCATTTCATGAAACG